TAATATTTTAAACACAAACTAATTTTATACCACGAATAATTAACACCATTTTAAGGTGAGTCGGTATTGACTTAAAAGTTATATGTGATGTTCTTGGCAAAAGTTAGATTAACCAATCTGCAATTTAAGAAAATGCCAATTATTTATACTTTATAATAATATGACATATAATTATAAAATATTATATTATTTCCTTAGAAATCTGAATTAGGCTCTGATCAGCCCTACTTTTTCACTTAGAATTATTTTTTTCATATAATATAATACAAAGTATTAAAATATTATTCCTTGAACAAAGACCTACATAACATAATCACGAGGTACACTCGAAACCTACTACTGTACTGCAGTCAGCAGAGTAAATTCTTCTATTTTTTTTTAATTTACAATTCGATGTATTTAATTATTTAGTAGAACGCCTGAATGAATTAGAGCACAAAAGCATCTATAAAAATTATATTTCAAAACAAAAGTTTTCTTATTCAGAAGTCGAAACCCAAAATATGGGTCAGTAAACTATTCTACAATATTTGGTATAGGTACCTACTCCCCATTAATATTAAACACGTGTTTTCTATACTATTATAACATTATAATATAATATATACACATAGAAAATACATGTTAATATACTCATTACCTAGATACACTTCGGTTAAGGTATTTCAAATACACCAAAGCCACTTTAATATAAATACATTATTCTACATTAGGAACATAACAATAATTTTAGCATTTTCTATGTAAAACTATGGAACTATCGTGATTGTATCGCCAATTTACATGATATTAGCTGGTAGATTCTACTATATTTTGTTAGTTTATTATATTTACAGTTGTATGATTTATTATCCTAAATACCGAAACTATTTAAAAATGTAATGCATCTCATTTTAAAAATTATTAAACTCTAAATTACAGTAGCTGTCTTACGAAAAAACATTAATTCATAAATTAACATAATCATGTATGGGTATCATAATAGGAAGGGTAGGTTTTTAAAAATTGCCTAATACCTTCGTTTAGAACTAAAATATAATTATATATATCTGTAATAATTGTTTAATAAGAAATACCAAGAATTCAAACACAAATAATAAAACTAATAATAATAATCTATTAATACATAATAATATGTATAATACTAAACATAAAGTTATTGCACAAAACATAAAGTAATTTCATTTTATATTCTAAAAACATGGCATTGTAATAAAAGTACTTTTTAAAGTTTTAACAGTGATCTGAAATTGCAATAAATGTTTTATTAAAAATTCATTTTGTATAGTCTAAATATTAAAATGATTGAAAATTATGAAGATATAATATCATTTAAATCGAATATCCATAAATTTAGATTAATATTTCTTAATAAATTCCACACAAAATAACAATTTACTTAAAATACTTAATGTTTAAGAAATTCTTGGTAATATTTTGAAGTAATTTTAAGTTAGTCTTATGGCAAAATATAATATTTTTTTTATTTACTCTTGTACGTTTTTATCTAAAAACGTTTGTTATAACTTTCTAACGGTCTTGGAAATTTTATAGGTTCGCTTAAATTGTAATTACCTAAAAATAAATTACTACCTAATCGATGTAAAAAAATTACAAATGTTTGCGTTAAGTAACATTTTAAACTACTATTATTTTTACCGGGATAAATAATGTTTCGAGTATTAAATAGTAAAATTTACTAAAATGTAATGAGACATTTATATACCTAGTCATAATTGTTCGGTTTTCTATTAACTTTAAATTTAATTTCTAATTACCTGGCATCATTTTCATGCTGGATATCACATTTCATGTTTAAAATTATTTGGTCACTAAAGTTGATATTTTGATATTGCCGTATATTGCCGTATCACAAATTGTTTTTCGATCACAATAAAGAAACTTTTAATCTATGTATACCTAATTATAAAAAATCAAGTAAGGTGACATAAGACTCGGTGGATTAACGCAGTAAATATATTTGATAAGAATGAACCAGTAGAATGTATTATTTGAGACAGCATATATAAAACAATAGTGGGTGGTGGAGATATCTAATGATTGGATCAATGGTCCCTAATAGGTCGATAGGCTGAAGAAAAATATAAGAAATAATGACCATACTAAAAAATAAAAATACTCTATTTTAAAATATTAGATAATTTATTATACCGACTAAAATTATAATGCCTTTTTGCCCCCTCCCGTTGAAAAATGTTAGATACGGCCTTCGCGGAGATGTGTTCTTGATTTTTTTGACAAAATCAAACTTAATTAAATTTTTTAAAGTGTACCTATTTTACAAACGCTTTTTTAAGCTGAGGGATACCCTAAAAGTTTCAACCTATCGACATTAAATCAAGTCTGGTAAGTATGCTTTGAAAAGTTAATTTTTCGAGTTTCCTCAGTTTTTTTTTATACAATTAATATGAGAAAAAAAATATGAAATTGAACTAACATAATACTATTATATTTAAACTTTAAAGAAATTCGATTCAAACAAAATGTTATAAAAAAAATCTATTACTGACATTGTCAATTTTGCCATCATTAAATTTGATAATAGTTCATCCATATAGGTATAGGATTACTCCAATAAATTACCCATGGAAACGTTTGAAATAGAATACGTTTTTGAACAAGACCGTATATCATATGTTAAAATTTAAAATGCTGTAACGTACTTTCTGCGATAAATTTGTTCAAAAATAAATTAACTAAAAACAAATCTATCTTAGAAAATAACGATGATATTTGTATCATATTTTAAATTATATGGTTCCCACAATTATTAATTACTGCTGAAATAATATTATTTAATGTTAATTACTATTAAATACACCACCAAAACCATACTTATGATGGCCATAATGTAATTGTTGTTTGTATAATTTAAAGAAACAATTTAGTTCAGAATAGATTATTAGGTAACATAAATTGTATTAACTATAAAATCATCATAATAATAAAACAAATAAACAAATACTAATTCAATAATTACAACAATAATTCGAACGGACGGATATAAACAAACACTCACCTATAATAGCTTATACTTGTAATAATATAATAAAGATCTGACCATCGTCATCTTTGATAATTGATGCACAGTTTATTAAAATATTTTCACCATCCTAACAGTTAATATCAAACACATTTAATCATTTTTAAATATTGTATCATACATTCATACACGGATAGTATGAGGGAGTAGTAATCGTTATATGACGTGTAGTTATACCTAGATATCTATTAGAATAAGAAAAAATAAACTACTTTTTCGTCGTAATAATTATGTTCATCATCAATACTTTTGTCTGTCAATATATCGTCATATTTTAATCGACTTTTTTATTATTGAAAATAATATTTCATAATGGGAGTTGAACCCCGTCATAAAATACGTCCCTACATAAATGTAATTTCTATAACTTTTATGAATATTTGAATGATTTTTTTTCACAATATTTGTGTGCTTCTTGTCTGTGGAAAACTGTAAGCTAATACGTGACTAGAGTAACCAGCTACGTTATAATATTATGGAATCTGGCACACATGTCACGCAGTTTTATCTTCTCTTAAAACCTTTAACTATAATATATATTATATTATATACATGTAACAAATAAACCACCAAAGTGAATTTGGCTTAAGTTGATATCCATTATGTGACATAAACTCTATAACATTCCTCTATTTTCTATTAAATTTATACCTGTCGTATTTCCTGCATAACACTAATAATTATTTATGTTTCATGTTTGGCTTCTCGTTTAATATAATGTTCAGTTTTATTATTTTGACGTCCTAGTCTAACACAGGCTGTATACAATAAAAGTTTTAATAAATTCCAAATTTAAATAATTCTTAAAATATATATTTAAATAAAAAAATGGTTTAACTAAAATTTAAATAATATTATTTATATTTAAATCAGTTTCAAATGAAACGTTAAATAATGATATTTTGTAGTTGATACATACTACCTCACTCCAAGTATCAACTGATCTGACGAGGAAATAATAATTGAGTATTAAAAAATATATATATTTACTTAATTAAACCTGATATAAATTTTTTAGCTTTATATATAATCGTCGTCATGGAATAAGTGGTAAAGTGATAATTTTTATAATTGAAATATTCAATTTTAAATTTGCATTCATCCATACATTTTTTTTTCACTTGGTCGCTTTTTTCATTACATCACAGCAACTTAGTCAACGTTGTGCAAAAAGTATATACCTAAGTGAAAAAAAAAATTCAAAAAATTGGAGTTATAAAAATGTAAAATATCCAGTTATAAAATTTTCACTCACCTCATTTTGCATGACAACGACGATATATTTACATATCTATGTTTTATTTGTGTGTATTTGTTTTTAGTATTGTTTTATTTAGTATCTTTATTTAATGGCATTATAGGCAGGTACGCAAGTAATATTTTGAATTTCTTTATATAATTAGTATAACTAACTTATATAAATTTGTAGACAGTAACACAGTAGGTACCTAATAGAAATAATCGTTGATAATAAAGTATAATATACGCTTACTTGATTAATTTAATGACAGTTCAAAATATTTTTTAAAGAAATTTAGTGCATACCGAAATATGTATGTCTCTTTAATACTGTATAATTTGTAAATCTTTTAAATAAATTTATGAAAACAGTGTCATAAATTGTATTTAAAATGGATAAGCTATGAATCTAATCAATATCAACATTTTTACAATTCTTAATTGTTAAAAGTGAAATAATAATATGTTTGATTTAATAAGATAAATATAGATAATTGATGTAATATTAAACTACTTGTATACAATATATTACATTATATTAGTTGTATAGTTAAGTACGTTAATTTATTAAAAATAAATATATATATTTATACATAGGTAAAAAAAAGTTCTATCTTTTTTAAATGCATTTTGAAAAATGCTTAAAAATACTCTTGCATCACTTGATAGTTGATGATATTGTTATAACGGTTGTCTAGTAAGATAATAATATCTAGTACCTACCTAAGAAGATAACTATCCATATTTTTAAACACGTTATAATATTTTATATTAACATGGTAATAGAATCTGAATATGGTTAAATAACTCGTACAACCACTCCATAATATGAAATTAGTAAAGTTGTCTTTCACTGTAATTACTCTCCATTTATTTTTATTAATACAGAGGTACGTAAATAATATAAAACCAATTTCGCAAAAAAAAAAATAACCAAATTAACTGAAATAAAACATTTAATTTACTATAATTTTTTAACACTAATTCCATTTTGTACTGAAAATCAATTGTTATCATCAACTCATTTTATAATATACATAGTTGTTTGTATACATTGTATTTACCATAATTTTACTACCTAATTAAATAAAAACTAGATTTCTGAGATTTCTAAAATTTCATAGATAATAGATGTATGTTTTATAGAACTATAGAAGTAATATAGAACCTTTTCTTATTCACAATATAATTATATTAAATTACCAATACATAGGTTTTTTTTCAAGTAATGATAAATAGTTATAGAAATAGTTTTAAATCTAATATATTTATTTTCTATTTATAAGAATTAGTTTTAGTTTCTTCATTTTATTGCGTGCATACACAATTAATATTAGATAAGCATGATTCTTTTTATTTACTTTTTTTCGTCTTAACAACTGTAATGCTTTACAAAATCATTACTATAATTAATAGAAAAAATATACGAAATTGTCATTTGGAACCTTACAATATTCTTTAGAGCACTGACAATTCATCTAAAACATATTTCGTTAAGGAATGATGTAGTCCTCAGTATAAAAATTATAAATTAAAAAAGAAAATAATCAATTTTTCCATAGGTACATACTTCAATTGCATCATGTTTATGGTGGCGTCGTCGGTAGTTCTCACATTGGTGGTGCTCAACTATCATCACCGAACAGCTGACATACATACAATGGGACCATGGGTAATTTGTGTGTTAATGTTCTTTGTTTTTATAATTCAATATTTACCATACATGCCAGAAAAATCAAATTACATTTATATAAACGCTCTGATTCGATCCATTATAGCGAAATATAAATCTTATAAGCTTTCTATAGTTGAATAATTATTATATAACTAAATCAATGCATGCCTGACATCCTATATAATAAATATTGTAAGTAAGCCAGAATATTCCTTACAATGATAAAAATGTATAAGAAAATTATTGGTAAAGGTATGCTAATATAGCATATATCTTAATTTAACCAACTATAATATCGATATGTTGTATGCGCTCGCCATTTACCAAGTTGAAGCACTGCAGATATAATTTTAACCGTTATAGAATTATATTATAAGTTTCCATGATTTTATTTTAGGTTAAGTGCTTTTTCTTGCTATGGTTGCCGTGGATCTTGTGTATGCAAAGGCCAGGCAAAGACATATCGTTCAAAGCCATCAGAAGTAGATATACAGATCGGAGAGGCATCGAACTCCGGGAGCGATCATCAAGAAGTTTATTAGCCAACGTTCTTGATATCGGTAAAGTATAGTTGTTGTATTTGTATTGTATTGTAATTAAACATTTTAGTTTTTATTTCATCGTTTATTCAATTTGCACTATAATATTGACATATGCCTTTACAAACTGTATGTTAGAACTTTGGAAGAAAATTTCAAATTAATGAAAGCCATATAAAATGTGTAAAGAATTGACATACATGTATCTGAATTGGTTAATACGCACGGTCACTGTAAAATAGTACAAAATAATTTCTCTGTTTAAATGTAGGTTTACGTTTTATATTACCTACAGAAAAAGTTATTAAAAAAATAAATAAATAAAGCAACTATAATAATGAATATTATATTTATTTAGCAAAAGTATAGAAATTATAAATACATCAAAAATCTATGATTTATAACTAAAAATAATCTTTTATTTCTTTTTTAAAAATTGATTAATGATTTAAAAAAAATATTAACCAATACACTTTAGATAGGTACCTACATTATTTTGTATTGATCTAACACACATATTTGGGAACTATGATCATTAGTTATTACATAATAATATTTTATAAGGAAATTATTATTATTATTATTTATTACAATAGCGTCCTGTGTTGAAATCATCGCTCTGAACAGCACTGCGCCTAACAACAAATTGACGTAGACGCAGAATTCTGCCGACTTACAAACTTCAAGTCTCGAGGTTATTATCCTGTGCGGCACGGTTGCGGCCTTTGTTGTCGGAAAAATTTCACAAAGTCATATTACGATCGCGGTCCACGTCGTTTACCTACGATTAATTCGGAAGCGCACGCTTTTTGCACCTGTTGCTATACATATATTAAATTATGATATAGGTACAAAATATAATATATAATATTATACTGTCTACGGCCGGGTTACAATTAAAACTTAATATAACACTGTATAGCGTATCAGCCTCCCGGTTTCACCAAGTATAATATTTACATATATTATTACGTTCGCGACTTGCCAAATTTAATATCGTCGTCTGTAGTACAAATATTTGCACACATCTCGTGATCCCGCCGTGTACGCACACATAGGAAATAACCTATACCTACATATAAGTATATAAACTATATTATATAATATATTGTATTATGTATGATATTACATTGACACGTGTCACGAGCTTGTTGCGGTCTTATTATATTACTTAGACCCCGACCACCACGGATGGTACCTATACCCTCGCTATATATACCCCGTTTCGGTATTATAATATAATATACCTCGGTTTTCCGCCGTCGTACTTTGTTTTTGACTTCAAATATTAAACATTTCGGTTTCGTCTATAACCTCAAGCGAGTACATCAGCTATAATATTATACGATATTGTGTAACTACACCAGGATCATGGTTTAACGCGATCACCGATAGAGGTCTTTCATTATTCTGTGTTCTTAATAATTAATAATATGTCCGTGTAAAGGTACCTATGGGGCTATAATATTCTGCGTATATATAGGAGGCATGAGGTTATTATATTATAGTTTGATGTTTAGTGGTTTAGTCGTGTACTCGTGTGACGACGTAGAATAATCATTTAGTAGATAACATAAGGCAGTGTTAAGATGATTAAATCTTCCTTAGTTTTTATCTAATTTTTAATAATATTTCAGATTAACATACGACGTAATAAAAGTAGAGGCAGAACGAAATAATATATAGAATAATTCTTCACTCAAATTAAACTGAGACATAGTTATCTTTTAGTGACGAATACCTCTTCTCTAAATTATGATCAATCAACTAGTCTCTTTAGTCTTTATTATTTTTTCCGAACAAAAATAATTTTCGATTATCTTAAAATATTTCCATAAAAATGATCTGCTAATATAATATTAATGCATGCGTTTTATATAAATACAATAATCATAAGAAATATTTACGATCAAAGACAATATTCATTTGTATCGTCAGCTTGATTGATGAAGCCACTATACGGCACCTATGGTGAAATTTATAAGAGGACTTGGAAGGGCTATGCGCCCTTTGAACTTTGAAATTAACCCCTCTAAGGAATTATGCAAAAATCCAGTTATAAATTCTAATGAATAATTATGAATTCCTATGAAAATAATTTTTATTTTAAACATAAAAAAATGTCTTACAAATCCATTAACATTTCGCATTCAATTAACATTTCCCAGGACAATACTAATAATAAAATAATTTTTTTGTAATAAAATATAAACGATGCAAAATAACGATTTGTTTCGTATTAGATAACCCTAATTTTACTTCATATGATTTACTCTATTATAAATTCTCAGGTTTATATAGGTACTAATACGCAGGTATAAACTTTTATCGCTATATCATCAACGATTTCGGTCAGTTACCTGCGAATAGTTTCATTTTTGGCTGTAAAAAAAATCAATAATTGACTCCCGACCCCAACATGTTCAGAAAATCAGTCAGAATAAGTTTATAGATTTTTTGTTATGTTTATTTTAAATTTTTTCAGTCCCTCAACTTCAAAACCCAGTGAACAAATGTATGTGTGATATACTGATCTTAGGTATATTATATTTTTATCAACTATTAAAAACATCCAAACTATTTGATTGGTATGTATTGTATTAGATACTCCAAGATTTATGTCATGAAAAGATTATAATAGTAATATTGTCCTAAAATTATGTGTCATTCTAAATTTTACATTTCTAAGTTTCTACACAACAGAGTTCCATTATATTGTGCCAAAAATCACAAAAATTATGTTTCACATGATTTGAGGTCAACATTTTTGTAAGTTAATATGGAGTTATTATTTTTTGTATACTAATCATTTAACGTTAAAATCGACAATTTCAAAAATCAAAAAAGAAATTTTTTTGTACTCTTACTTCGTTTTCAACTCATACATAATATATCCAATGTACTGATTTTATGTCTTACAATTTTACAATATTTAGTCCTCGTGAAATACATATCCATTAACCTCCCCTAAACTATAACTCTGGATACGCCCCTGTATTACAGCATACATTTTAGTACTGTTATTTATGACATTATGATTATATGATTTAGCTACGGATTTGAAGTGCTTATTTTAAATCCTCAGTATGCAGAGTTTTCAATAATGTGTATTGTGTATGATTTTTTTACGAGCTTAAAAACAATTTTTGGCATTTAAAAGGCTCAACATTTTTCATTTAGATTCTCTATACAATTCGAATTGAACGTGCGTTTTACTAGAAGCAATTTTTCAATTTTGTCAGTAGGTACTCTCAAGTGTAGTACTTATTTAAAAACAGCCGATAAGCGGTAAATAAATTAGTAATTCCGTAATTACGTACTGTTAATCACCTGTTTTTAATAAAATCTTGAAAGAGTAAAACAAGCTCCGTTCGGATTTGTTTTTCGAATGCAATGGTTTATTTATTTACAGCCTTCTAACAAATAAAAACCCCTCCTGCTCTATACAGTTTTACTTTTTACCGTGTCTCTCGTATAATGTACGATGTACAGTTGTTGTACACTGCAATATTGTGAATACCTACACCAAAATGGCTTTTGCTAATTTATTAGGCTAATGAACAATATCGTTGATTGCACGGACTAGACGTTTTCTTAGCGATTTCTATCATTATTAAACGGATAATCGAATTGTATTTATTTCTAATGCACGGTTAATGTTATACGATTATACAGACGATGATTTTCGAGCGAGCGTCCTGTCACACCGCGTGTACAACAACGGGGCTGCCAGTTCGTCGTCGCCGGCGTCCGAGTCGAGAAGCGTCTGCAACTACTCTGCCAGAGAATTGCAACTCATATTGCAAGAGGTGCGGTACATCACTGACCACATGCGAAAGCAACAGGACGACCAAGAAGTGATCAACGACTGGAAATACGCAGCGATGGTTGTGGACAGGTTCTGTTTGATAGTGTTCACTTTTTTCACATTAGTCGCCACTGTTGCCGTAATGTATTCAGCGCCTCACATAATTGTTGAGTGACTCAGACATTGTGTTCACTTCTTGGATGTCCATATGGCAGTCATGATTTTGTTAAATATTTATTTCAGAGAGTATGAGTTGTTGTTTTGAAATATAATATTAAAAGTTTTTTTTTTGTAATACCATAAAAAAATCGACGAAGAGCTTAGTAAAAAAAAAATTCTATGATACACAACGCATTTACAGGGTGTTAAAAAAGATCACGGGCCAAGAATAAGTCCTTCTAAATAATTAAATTACAGTGTTTTAATTTTAATCATCCAAAATACACCCTGTTTTTATAATATTATTTACATTACTTTTTGTTTTTGCGTACTCTAATATTAAAAACGGAATAGTTGAAAAATGATTTATTTATCTTATTGTTATTACTATTATATTGTAATAATGATTTTAACAATTTTATCAAAATGGTTATTATTCTTTTCATTATTATTTGGTACTGTAAAAATGATCGCTACTGCCCATAATAAATATTAAGTTATATAACTTAAATATAATTCGAAATTATGATTATTTTGAATATCTACAGTTATTATTATTTATTAAAAATAATAATTGTCGTTCATTAATCATAACATTAAACATTATGCGAGGGTTCAAATATTACAAAATACCTATGTTATATTAGGTCCTTCAACAAATTTATTCGCCGAGAAAAACTTTTCTATACATTTTTTAAGTTTCTATTATGAATTATTTTTAACACTCGCAATTCTAACATTTAAAAATCCGTAATGTTATATTATTTTTAGAAAATTGTTTGATACTAATGAGTAATGGTTGATGGATATTGACAGACGATACACGATCTCGGGTAATTTTAAAATACCTAACAAGTTATAATATAATATATTATTAAGCTAACCATTAGTTTTATATTTTTAGAAATTTGGTAGGTTTAACAATTAGCCTGTGTCTATATTATATAGTATAATATACCTATTTTATTATATTATAACCTCCCCAGCTATACCTAAATCCAAAGTAGAGTAACTTACGATGTATTAACTATATGAATTTGTCTTTCCTGCACTATTTTCTCTACAGTATAGACAATATCAGAAGCATTGTTTTGTTTTTCATCGATCCAATGAATATTATTATTAATTATTTAAATATGAGTAATTTAGGTTAAAAAAGCCAAAATAGTAAATTATCTTAAAATATAGATAATAATAAATGTAATAAATAAGATCCTATTATTTTGTATACTAAAAAACAGTCATCAGATACTGTGAGAAACATGGAAAATAAATAATAACTATCCATTGAAATTGGAAAAAAATTAAAACATTTTGATAATTATTAATGGGAAATTACACCAAGCTCTGATAAGCAATGTTTAGAGGGGCCATTATAAAGGATCGAAAATCGGAATATTATATAAAAATAAACCCAAATTAATATTACATTATGTTACATCGGTTTAAGGATATTTTTTTGAAAGTAAAGAAAAAATTCTAATGTCGAAATCTGATTATCAAAATTGTTTCATCAGAAACCACTACGTTTTAGTATTCGGTTGATAAGGATGGTGAATTTTATTTGTTCAATGCATAATATTAAAATAACATATTATTAAGAATAATGTTTTATGGGAAAGTAAAATCTTGTTGTTTCCATTGTTTAGAAAATACTTCCAAACTTTAATTAATATAGAAAAATTAATTTTAACTTTTAAGGTTATTTAATTTTTATAATAATAGTTTTTTTTATGTAGGTACTATAATTTTATTACGAATAATAAAATATAAATAATCAATAATATTGTTTACCTATCAGCTATATTGTTTACGAGCTTGTTTTAAATATTATATATATTTTATCGTTACCACAATCATTTAAGTTTATATAATTTGTTAAGAATTTTAGCCCTACCAGATCTCAGATCTTGTATTCATTGATTATGATTTCCATTACCTAATGAATATGAGAATGTATAATTTACTTTAAATGTATTTCTATATTATAGGCATTGATATGGCCACATTTAATAGTATCGTTAATTATTGAATATTGAGTTTTAAAAAGTAAAGATAAACTTAATAAAACATGGAATAGGTAGTAATTTTATTGAATTGAGATTTACTGGATAAAAATGTGTTCATATTTTTTTTTATATATATATATGTCATTCATCGCCAAGTGTTTTACTATTAAATTTGTACTACCTAGGCATTTATAATTACTTTTTAATAGAATTCAAAAACTAATAAAACCCCTTGCTATAAAATAATTTACATAGAACTTATCAGTTGTGATTAATTGAACTGTTAAATAAAATGTTTCATTCGATTTGTGTTTACACTGTGATACACTTTAAGCTAAATTAAAACAACAATAATATTATATATTATAGGTATGCCTATGTCATTAACTGTACTAATTCGATTAAGAAGTATAACAGGATATTTTTTTTAGCTAATACTCGATTACACTTCAGTTAATCTAAACGCCGTTATATACATAAAAAAATTAACTGCAAAAATATCATAGTAAAAATATTTTTATTTTTATTTTTATTTTGTTGTTTCTATTATATTATTCTCATTGGATATACTTCCTTTTTTTCTTATATATCTCATAGGTACTAATAAACATAAATTATATTAAAATATTAGGTATTATAAATTAAAAACACCGAAAGGTTTTCGCTATCAGCATCACATATTTCCGATTTAGAGGTAGGTAAAGGGCAAAAGCCATTATTGGTATAAGATATAAGAACAATGTGGGTTTTTTTTATCAATACCTTCGCTTTTCGGGTGTAGTAAATACTCTCCAAAATACTATTATAAATTATGAATTGGCAACATCATAAAATTTCAAGTTTTCTTTTTTAATTTAAGTTAAAAATATAAAAATAATGCTTTGCTAGTTTCAAATTTGTTTTTCATTTGGGAATCATTTTGATAATTCAGCAATAATTGCTCAAAATATTTGTAATCCTTATGTTGACTATCTCAAAAAGCTAAGAACATTCGTTGTATAAATTTTTTTACAAATTAATTTTAAATCCTTTTAAATATAGAAATGTATTGACAAATCAACCGTCAATTATTATTTATTATTTAAACAAAAAAAAAACAGTTATGATTATAATAGTTTTTCCCAAACTATCGTTGAACAAAAGTTAAAACAAATCGATGATAATTATTTTCAATTTTTCTTTTATCAAATAAATTATCACCAATTATATTATAATCAAATCATATTAAAAATTTACATATAATCACATGTAATGACACATTGAAACATAAATTAGAATAACATTTCATTAATAGTGATTTGACCTGGGGTTTGGATTTTTTCTCTTTAAAGTATGCAAGTTAGATTTATAAAACTAAAAATATATTGAAAATAACTAGAGACAGGAATATTATTTTTAATATTAGTACCCATCAATAACATTTAAGTTCAACAAGTAATGAGTTATAACAAATAATAACGTATTTTTCGAACAAAGTTGAAATATGCGTCTTTGCAAAAACACCAAGTAAAACTGTACTCCTAATTGTCTTAATCAAAACAGTGCAATAAAAATTATTATTATTATTTATAAACTTAATACATTTTTTTTTAATTTTTGTAAAATATAGCCGAATAAAAATGTCATTACTTTACTATAGACTGTCTACTAAATCTATAATATTTACTGTCGCATAATATTTTAATCGTAAGCCATATAATATATCCATTAACCATGTTTAAATCTGTCATCGTTCGTCACAAAGGAGTACAAAATGTCAAAATAATTCGATTTACCACCAGTTATATATTAAAACATGAATTAGTACAAACACTTGAATATATTTTTAAAATATACCTATCCAAAAACAAAGTCCTTTAAAAACACCATTTAGAATAATACAATAATATATATCTAAAAAATTGTGTAAATGTTCCATGCTTAACGGAAAAAATTTCGGCTTTAAGTAATATGTGTATCTAAGTGAATGATGTGAATATTCATAAATAACATTTATTTAATAAAAATCAATTGTATGTAGGTAACTATATTTTAAGTATATGTGCAAAAAGTATTTTTAGTGTCTGACAAATGTACTTACTGATAGTGATTTTCGTAAAATAGTTTTACATTAAAATAGGTTAAGGAAATAACGAATCCTTAAAAATATGACTTTTAGAATTTAATAAAAAAAATATTAATGATATTAAATTATTGATTGATTAGATTGTGACTTCAATAATCGTAGGTTAAAATTTATAAACTAAGTGATTTATTATGTTAGAAAACCTAGGGAATTGGTTTGAGATAACTTTTCTTTGTTTAAATTTGTTGCTCATAAAACATGGAAAACATAACACCGTATTAGGTGTGTAAAATAAAAACAAAATATTTAATAACAACTGTGTACAAAGAATAATTAAGAAGTAAATCGTTAAACATGTTTTTATATATATTTAAAAAAAATGATGTGTATAAATAAAAAAAAGATAATTTTAAACAATAATATTTGTATATCTAAAGCCTCAAAGAGAGAGGTTGTTATTTCTTGAGTATGTTTTTTTATTAATATTGTATGTACTAAAATAATAATATTGTATACTATTATTATGTAACATGACTATAACCAGTTAAAATACATTATGACATGTAGACAATGTTACGAAGTTTTGTATTTAATTATTTATGTACCTACCTACCTAGTACCTACCTATCTACCTAGTACCTACCTACCTAACTATATTTAGGAACCGCTACATTATATTAATATTATGTCGACTAGCGGTTCATGTTAGGTAAATAAATTCTCAACCTAGTTGTAGAGTTCTTAGCCGCGAAACGAGTGTTGTTCTTCTTCTCCTAAAAAAAAAACGGCCGTCTGAACGTCTCACATTTATTATCATTACTAATATTTGACGACACGACAAGCCGGACAAGGGGACAATAATATTTTTTAATAGGTTTTCGAGTATTCCAAAATGTGACTACTCGTGATGCGGTGGCCGACTCCATTATAAATACGGCGTAT